TTTACATACCAATATTAAAAAACGACAGTTCTCTGACGCTTCCTTGATGAGGTTGTGGTTCAGTAGATGCTTGAAGTAACCCGTTTCTTATTCTAGGTAAGGTATAAAATGCTCATTTGGTGGAATGCCTAGAATCAACTGTAAGACCTTTTACATATCGTAGATATGAATATATAAATATATATAACAATTCTATTATCCAACGAGAATAAACTCTGCAAATGAGAACAAAGAGATGCTTCACAATGAATATAAAGAGTTTGATCTTTGCGCAAATCTGCATATCAGTACTCCAATTAATGTGAGTATATAAGTGCATTTCTGACTTGTAAACTTGAATGGTCATCAATAGAAAACTCACCACTGTGGTATATCCAGTGTACCCATATAATACCACCACCAATTGTTATTTATTTTCTTTACATGTGCTTGGGTATTCTTGGCAAAGGTGAATTTTTACCACATTACCTACCTAAGGGAAGATTGACTTGCAAAGTGAACAGCCTATTTGTACATAATCTCTAGTCCTGGACTTGACCCAATACTCTCCATGATATGTAGTATTGTAAAGGCCCTAAGAACAGTGAGATAAGATAGGCAATACATTTTACTCAGGACACTAAGTTCAATGAGAGTAGATCTGGAGAATGTGTGGTTGGTTAATAGTGGAATCTATGTGGTCTAGATGACTGACTCATCAATTGTCATTTGACAAATTAGTGAATGAGGTTTGTTGACAGAGCCATTTTTGTTTGTGGGGTTGAGAAGAAAGGGGTTTTCTTTTTGCAAACATTGCATGGCCATTGTCTTGAAGTGCCTGAACTAAATGATGGAGCTATCAGGGTTAAAAAAAAAAAAAAAAAAGTTTCCTGTTTAATGTAGACAGCATTACATTACTTAATTCTTTAATTTGGCCGTACGGTACTGCAAGGTGAAAAATATGGATGGTTTTGCAGACAACAGACCCACAGATTTTGAAACAAACTTGGAGACTGCCACTTTACCCATTCAGGGCAAAGTGACAGTGTCTATTTCAAACCTTTTCCCCTTCCCATCCCCTGATACTCACCTTGCCAGCGTTCCCTCACTCCCATGTGATCTAGCAGCCAATTCCTAGGCCTGGTCTCTGTCACATGAATGGAATAGTGCCTGCTGCAACAAAGGCGGGAACAGCGAGGGAGCACTGGCAAACTGAGTACCAGGGAAGGCGCTTTACAAAGGCACTTTATCCTGAATGGGAAAGGTGACCGTCTCTGTACTGTCCTGAATGGAGACCGAGCTCAGAAAGGGGCTATTTGTGCACCTCTTGTCCCACACTTCTGGAGGTGGTAACGGGATGTAAGAATGGGGAGTGGCACAGGCACCAGGACGGAGTCTGTAAGGATGCTTGAAAGCGCAGAACTGGTGATATTCTGCAGGACTAGGATGACTGCGGAAGCTCCTGGAAGCAGAAGCTAATGGCTAATGCGTTGTTGGTGAGCATGGACCAGATACATAGGCACAAAGCAGCAGGAGTGCAAGGCACTAGATCGAAAGCCGGAAGCAGAGTCCGAACCATAAGCCAGGATCACACACGGGCAAGTAAAGTCTCGTGGTATCGCAAGGATAATCAGGAGCAGAGCCAAGATCATAAGCCAGGGTCATACATGGATAAGCAGAGTCTTGAGGTACCAGATCAGAAGGCAGAGGTGGAGTCAGATAGTCACAAGCTGGTTCATACACAGGAAAGCAGGTCTACAGGAACAAATGCGAGGACCAAGGGGACTAGCTGACAACAGCTCAGCAACTTGCTCCATGCTTGCATCTGTTTAAATAGGCAAAGCGTGCCTGCTAACCAACGTGCACCAATATGTCATTTGCACGTGAGTAGTCCAGTGCTTGCATGTCTTTGCGCGTCTGCCAAGAACCTTTCCATAATAGAAGTCACCAGCACTCTATATTATGTGCAAGAAGTAAAGCACTTTTTATTCAATTGTCACATGCATCAAACAGCCATTGTTTCGGGGCCACGCAGGGTCCCTTCTATGTCGCCCAGAAGAAGGGACCCTGCGTGGCCCTGAAAAGTTGGCTGTTTGACGCATATGACAATTGAATAAAAAGTGCTTTACTTCTTGCACACATCGAGTACTGGTGACTTCTATTATGGACTGTATCAACACGGCACCATCCGTGTTGTCACTTCAAGCACCAGCCTCTTACTCAAGGTCTGTACGCTGTATGGAGTGCAGGTGATTTTGTATTATCGATTGCCAAGAACCTTTAGCGCAGGATTTCACGCAGAGGACTGGACTGGCATTCTGGTAGGTCTCTTACAGTCTTTTTTAACTTTGATGACATTTTGCACTCATGCCTAATGACCAACTAACCTGAAAAAATTGTATGCATATTGGGACACTGGCTGTAAAATATTAGACAAGTCTCTGCTCTAAATCACTGATTCTGGATGCAGTTTGCCCAGCAACAGAATGCAATGATTTGCATGGCTCCGCCCACTATCCCAAATTTAGAAATATACCCTCTTATCTTTTGAATTTGTGATGACATGTAAATACCTTCTGTTTTAATAAGGCTCTGCTGCGATACTCCTCTGAATAAAATTCCCGGATTGAACTGTCATGCTGAACTGCACAATTACCTCTGATAGTTCATGTAACAACAACCTCTTTGGCAACATTGTGCATAGAGAAAACTATAACAACGACATTAAAACAAATGCGTGAAAAGGAAATGTGAGCCCCTTACAACATAAACTCAAGGTAATCATTCCAAGCCAGCAGTCAGTGTTACACAATCCCCACGTCAATATATTTGAAGACCCAAGTAGATCCTGTAGAGCTGATATACACACAGTATGTCAAGTGTATCCATATGCTGTTCATATCCTACATGATTATAAGATACAACTGTTTTATATACAATAGGTGGTAGGTCAGATTTTCTTATTTTATTTTTTACAGTTGAATCCTCTACCTCTGATTTTGTACATCACCTCTCCGTGTCTTTCTATGTCCTCACCTAAAGTAATGTCCTGAAATGAATGAGAAGGCCGAAAATCAGGCTGTAGGTTACAAAACATCTTGAATCAGAGCAAAGTGAAAAAGAAAGCAGTGTTGTATCATTACATTACAGAGGACACCTGTGGCTTTCGTTACCCGGTCAGACCGTCTGGTTACTAGACCATAGAACAGGGGTCAGCAACCTTTTACACACCGAGTGCCATTTTTGCAACCATCAGACAACCGAGTGCCATTGAACAATAGTGCACCATGGTATTAGCAAATTTCAAAATCTGGAGGACTGTGAGACTGAAACCATCAACATAAGCTAATAGTATCAACATAAGCTCTTCACTGCTACAAAATAGCCACAGCATGGAAATCTGCAACACTTGGCTTCACAGCTTTCAAAAAAGAAACACTTCCTGCTATGTTGTCCTAGAACCTAGATTGTTCACTTCACCAAACTCTTCACCCTTTTGTGAATAACCCTGTAAGTTTTAGTTGATGTGGGGAAGGAGAGGAACCCTTGTCAGGTTTTTACTGCTACCCAGAGCCCCATCCCAGAGATTCCTCCAGACTTCCTATCCTGCTCACAAGTGAGGGCTCTGCCTCATGTGCTACCTGTGTGCCCCTGACTTTTGCTCCTTTGATTAGATGCTGTGCATATATTGTACCCGTCTGCTCTTTGTTTCTATATTGTTCATTTTAAAATATAATCTTTAAACAAGTGAGGGAAAATCTCTCTAATGGAGCCCCAGGTAGCAGTAAAAACCTGACAAGGGTTCCTCTCCTTCCCCAATCCAGCCAAAACTGGCAGTTATTCACAAAAGGGTGAAGAGTTTGGAGAAGGCATGATAAGTGAACTAGGACAACATAGCTGAACGGGAAAGTGAGCTGAATTGGAGAATTTTTCCAAATCAGCTATGTTGTCCTAGATTGTTCACTTCTCCTGCCTTCTCCAAACTCTTCACCCTTTAGTGAATAACCCCTAAGTGAAAATGTTTTGGCTTGACATTTAAAAGTGGAACTACACCTTCCTCCTATACCTTACAGCCAAGGAAGGGGCCATCTTCGCCTCTATTTGGATTGCAGATGCCATGATGCTGTACATGTGATCAGCTATGACACCAGCCATATGAGGGCTTGAGAGCTGAAATAAGCACACTGACAACCCTGACAGTTGGCCTGCCTTAAAGGTAACTGTGTTTGGGAAAGATTACATTGGTGGGTCTAGTTCTGCTTTGGGGTATTCCAATCATGAAGCCTGGACATAAAACCTAAGTGCACTATTTGTAGCAAAGCAGCGCACCACAAAGTACAGAACATTCACATGTGTTGTGGTTCTCCACAGCACCAGAACATTTGATGTTACTGTATATGTGCCTGGGGTGTTCTTCAGAATGACTGGCAACAACCATATACCATGCACTAATGTACAGCGCAAGTAAAAGTCATACCCCAGGGGAGATGAGGAAACCACTGGGGGAGTGGGGAATCAGGTCATTATAAGTGGTTTTTCTCTTCTAATACCTTACACCAGCGATAGGCAACCTTGGGTGTGGTGTAACTACAAATCCTATAATGCCTGTAGCTGTCAGAGTCCTGCAGTGCATCATGGGACTTGTAGTTCCACAACAGCAGCCGAAGTTGCCTAGCCCTGCCCTAGACATTAACGAGCAGTTAACCCTTGCAGCCCCCCAAAAACGCACCCCCCCCCCCCCCCCCCCTTGGAGGCAGACATTAACTCTTGCAATGCAGCAAGGGTCAGCGTTACAGGTTGATATTGCAATGAGATCCCAGAAGGCTCTGTGTACATCCATATGAAGGCTTCCCCTCCCCATACACAGACGGTGGGTGTCCCAGCATGCCACACAGCTCCCTTTCCCAGGCTCGCAGTAAATCCAGATTACAGCTCAGCCGGACACTGCACAGATAATGAAGTGGAAGGGCCGAGCCCCGCCACGGAACTTCATGTGTTACATAAACAGACATCTCCAGCCCCGCCCCTGGGCGTGCCGCAAGGAAGCGACCGAGCTGGGTGACAACCCCTGAGAGGAGAGCGCTGATACCTGCACACAGTGGGCACCATCATGCCACCGCCACTGCCTGTGTGAGCGCTATGATGAAGAAGAGGCGGCCGCGGAGGCTGTGGCTGCTGCTGCTGCTGCTCTACGCGGCGTTCATGCTGCTGCTGCTCTCCCTCATCTTACATGATGGTTGGTGGTCTACCAAGAAGAGCCGACCCGGGCAGGAGTATGACAACGGCTGGGCATCTCGCCGGCTCTGCCCGTCACTGGACACGTCTGTGTGGGAGGAGGAGGTACAGGAGGGTGCGGAGCTGTCCCCGCAGCCCAGGACACACGTGTATCTTCATGCTACCTGGCGGAGCGGCTCGTCCTTCCTGGGGGAACTCTTCAACCAGCACCCGGGGGTCTTCTACCTGTACGAGCCAGCCTGGCACATGTGGCAGTCGCTGTACCCGGGGGACGCGGAGAGCCTGCAGGGGGCGCTGCGGGACTTGCTCCGCTCTCTGTTCCGCTGTGATTTCTCCGCCTTGCGGCTGTACGCGGGGGACAACCTGACCACCGCGGGGCTCTTCGGCTGGAAGAATAACAAAGTCATCTGCAGCGCCCCCTTGTGTTCCGCAGGGCACGACTCGGCCTCTACCGCGGGAGGAGCCCGGGACAGGGTAGGTCTGATTAAGCCTGGGGACTGCCAACAGCGTTGTCCGGCCCGGCCCCTGCGGGACCTAGAGGAGGAGTGCCGGCGCTACCCAGTGGTGGTGATTAAAGACGTCAGGTTAATGGAGGTGTCAGCTCTGCTGCCGCTGCTGCGGGATCCGGGACTTAACCTGAGGATAGTGCAGCTCTTCCGGGACCCCCGAGCCATGCAGAACTCCCGGCTGCGTTCCAAACGCTCCTTGCTGCGGGAGAGCCTACAGGTGCTGCGGAGCCGGCTGCGGGGCGGGGACCCGGCCAGCAGAGCGCAACAACAGCAGCAGCTGCACCGCGGGGGAACGGACTACCTGCTGAGTGGCTCTCTGGAGGTGATCTGCCAGGGCTGGCTGAGGGATCTTCTCCTGGTGAGGGCGCATAGCACATCCTGGCTACGCCAGCGCTACCTCAAGGTTCGCTATGAAGACTTGGTACTCTCCCCTCGTAAGGAACTGGGTCGCCTTCTGCGCTTCACCGGGCTGCCAGCTGTGCCCGAGCTAGATGACTTTGTGATGAACATGACGCAGGGACCCAGCTACTCCTCGGATCAACCCTTCCTGGTGTCTGCCCGCAATGCTAGGGAGGCTGTGAATGCCTGGAGGGAGAGGCTGAGCAGAGAACAGGTTCGCAGGGTTGAGGAGGCATGTGGGGAGGCCATGCAGATCCTTGCCTACAAAGCGGAGGCAGATGACACAGCTACCTGAGCCTCTGACCTCCCCATCACAGCAGGAATACAGCCTCACAGCTGTCACTAGATACATAGGTCTCATTCACACTGGCAATTAACGCCGCCAGCAGATTCTCGGGGATGGAATCAGTGGGGGTTGTGAACTGAGGCTGCTCAGCCTGTACAAATCAATGGCAGGATGACAGGAGCTGCAGCGGCTGCTCAGCCTGTACAAATCAATGATAGGAGCTGCAGTGGCTGCTCAGCCTGTACAAACCAATGGCAGGAACTGCAGTGGCTGCTCAGCCTGTACAAAACAATGTCAGGAGCTGCAGTGGCTGCTCAGCCTGTACAAATCAATGACATAAGCTGCAGTGGCCTCCCAGTCTGTACAAATCAATGACAGGAACCACAGTGGTCGCTCAGCCTGTACAAAGTAATGGCAGGATGACAGGAGCTGCAGTGGCCACTCAGTATGTGCAAATTAACGGCAGGATGACAAGAGCTGCAGTGGCCACTCAGCCTGTACAACCCGATGACAGGAGCTACAGTGGCCGCTCAGCCTGTACAAAGCAATAGCAGGGTGACAGCAGCTTCAGTGGCAGCTCAGCCTGTACAAAGCAATGACAGGAGCCTCAGTGGCAGCTCAGCCTGTACAAATCAATGACAGGAGCCTCAGTGGCTGCTCAGCCTGTACAAAGCAATAGCAGGATAACAGTCGCCTCAGTGGCAGCTCAGCCTGTACAAAGCAATGACAGGAGCCACAGTGGCTGGAAACCTGTACAAAGCAAGGACAGGTTTGACATGAGCCGCAGCTGTTCACCACTATTTGCATGTACTTGCAATTCCAGCGATTACCTGTGGCTAGGAACAGATGACCAGCTCTGGATGCACTCTATCAGTGTTCAGGACCAGTCATCTCTCCCTAGCCACAGGCAACCACTGGATGTACAGATACATGGGAACAGTCAGCTTGCCATTGCGTTGTACAGGCTGAGCGCCTGCAGCTGTCTGCAACCAACTGTGATTCCAGCTGCCAGGGGGAATGGGGTGTTTAAAGTAGAAGGAAAGACAAAACACTGAAAGATCTTTTATTTATTGCCTCCTCATTGCTCTGTATTCATTGCATATATTTTCTATTATATGGCAAAGTATAATAGAAAACCTTTTTGTAGAGGTTTTCTATGTGACCAAATGACTACAAAGCTCCAACGACGTGCGTCTTTCTGTGCGCCTGCTGGGTGTGACCTCTGCCCTGGCCAACAATGCCCCCCTCCCCATCCCCTCTATAGGATTCATAGGTGTTGTGGGCCCTGCACAGAGATACATTGAAAACCTGTAAAAAAGGGGAAATGAGAAGGCAACATTTAAAAGATGTGTCAGTGTTGTGCCATTCCTGCTACTTCATATATATGGTGGCTACTATTCTGTGATACAGACTTTCCTATCTTCAGATCATTCCTTACAGAAGACTTACCAGTTGGGATGTGGTAGATCTTCCATAATGGAAGTGGGATATGTAGTAGGTGCTCTTCTGGGTTGAACTTTTAGGGGACAGGGTCCTGGAGGTGTTTTTATAGATGTATTAACTGTGTTGAACATTCAACAGAAATGCGTATCTTCAAATGTATTCTTTTTCTTTAGTGTTTGTCAATCACGTATTTAGGGCTAGTTCACACCAGCCCCAGTGCGTTCCGGCCCGATTGGTGCCGACATGCACTGGATTGCATTTGGGCCGACTTCCTTTGTTTTGGGGTGGGAGGGGGCGTGGCCGTGCATTGAAGTCAATGGCTGCATGCACTGTTTTTTTTTTTACCGCACCGGACCAAAACACAGGCATTAATGTGCCACGTGTTCTGGTGTGGGCGATCGCACTGCGGCTGGAGGGCGTGGCTGCGGTGCCATTGACTTTTCAATGCACCGCCACGCCCACTCCCGCCCCAGAACAAAGTGAGCCTGCCGGAATGCGGTCCAGTGCGCTCCGGCAACCAATCGGGCCAGAACACACAGGGGCTGGTGTGAACTAGCCCTTAAAGTTGTAAGATGTTTTAAAAGTGAAATCATTTAAAATAAAGGTCAAAGGTGGTGTCACTGTAGGCCAGCCAAACAAAACTGTTAGACTGCTCTAAAATGAATCTACATTTTATTAAAAAGTTAAAGTGTATCTCTGGGCAAAACTTTATTTATTGTTTTAAGTCTTGGATGGTGTGGGGAAGGGTTAGAGCAGGGGTGGGCAACTCCGGCCCTCCAGCTGTGTATCTTTAACTACAAATCCCAACATGCCTCTGCGAGTCACGCCTGTAACTGTCAGTCTTGCAATGCCTCATGGGACTTGTAGTTCCACAACAGCTGGAAGGCTGGAGTTGCCCACCCCTGGGTTAGACCGCCTGTTAAGTTATTATTGCTGTCTGTGATCCCATTGAGGAGTTCACCTCTGTATTCTGACAAGAAGAAAGCGAGGTAATATACAAAGAGTTGTCCCCGATACAAAAGTTAAGGGGAAATCTTTCAGTAGGGACAACTGTCTAAGAGGGGAATTCCACTCACTTTGGAAGATTTCCTCTAACTTCCTGTTGCATCTTTGGCACAGGAAGTGAAGGTATAGCTGCCCAATGGTACACAGGCAGCAAACATTAAACTGGTAGGGGTTTTAACCCTTCTCTACATTTTTTTTTATATATATGTTAAGTCATTTTTGAAGTCAACATGTGTTTTCCTATATATTGTTAAAGCAGAACTCTGGGCAAGTGGGGCTACCCCTCTACTAAAAGGGTTAAATGCTCGTTTTTGTCTAGGTGCTAAAAAAAAAAAGTTATACTCACCCAAACCATGTAGCCAGCTGGTTGCTACCCCAGTCCCAGAAGCCACTCTCCTCCTACACTGCAGTGATGCTATATCCCTTGGCATCCTCACATCCTATACACTGTGTATAGAACGTGTTGACTCAGGGACCTTAGAGCGCTGCAGCTGAGGGGACAGAGGCTTCAGGGACCAGTCTAAGAACAAGCCGGCTTCTAGGATCGGGTGAGCATAACTTTCAAGACAAAAATGAGCAGTTAACCCTTGCAGTGCAAGGGGTAAGAACATTTTTGCTCAGAGTTCTCCTTTAAGCAACAGGGTTACTTTAATGCCTGATCTCCCCCATGCATATACTGACATTTCCTTCAAGCCCCAGCTTTTCCATTTGCTGCTTAAAGCAAAGACAATCTAATGTACTTGCACGTAATCAGGATCATGTGACTCCCTTTGCACGTGACAGTACTAGTGTTTGACCCACAAACCTCATGTGGGGATTGCAGATCCTTAGTCCTGTGTAATTAACTCCTCACTCTATAAATGAGAAAAGGTAAGGTTTACTATAGCCTAACACAGGGTCACTGCACTGTACTTATTTCTAGGTGTTATTGAATACATCCTTTATACACATATATGAATATCAATAATCATTTCATGGCGTGTCATATGGGGGTGGTAATTGGGTGTTCTTTGCACTCCACTGCCGACCAGGTAGCAGCTAAACCCAGCCTTTGTAATAAAGTACCATTCCGTTGACCACACGTACAGACATAGAACAAGTGAACTACTGTCTTCAATGTCTGCCCAAGGATACCTCTGTATACTGTATATTTGTGTAGTTAATGTTTTACAAAAGTGAAGCCTCATCCATATTTGTTAACTGAAAATTAAATGAATGAATGGTTCTCTTTCTTCCTGACAGTAAGCACTCTTCTGCAAATAGCATTGGACAATTGTCAGTGTTTTAAACACAAAGCGTTTGTTGTGTTGTGTGCTCTTGGCTTATAAAGACAATCACGGAACATACGTTTCTTCCCGTTTGTAATGATCATTATTCTATTGTAAGCTGTCACTCTTTCTTGGCACGCATACTTTACTTACAAAGGGAATGTACACATTTATACTGCATGTGTGGTTAGTGTGCAGTGCTGTACTGGCAGTGATGTCTGACTGTTTCAGTGCAGACTGTGGGTGTCGGGGGAACTGGTGTTCACTTGAACGTCCCTAAACTGCAGGAAACCAAGCATAGCAAATGTCTGCATGTATGATGGTTAGCTTGTAGAGCTCCCTTGGGATCCTAAAGCCCTCGGAGCTCTAATTTGTTAATAGAATGACTGTGGGAACTTGTGCTGCTAGATACTTTCTGTGGGAACACTAGGGCCCAGTTCACACTTAGTGATTTATCGCGTGGTAATTCCCGCGATATCGCGGCAATTTACCGCGTGATATCGCAGCAATATACCGCGCGATATCGCTCTTCAATGCAAGGCAATGGGGCAAAGGGTCCTGCTGTCGCGGGTCGTGCGTCGCTACAGCAGGACCCTTTTTGGAGCAGATTTTGCCGCGATTCCATTCTTTGCAATGCAAGCATTTGCGCGATATCGTGCAAAATGCAAATCGCGCGATTTGCAAATCGCGCAGTGTGAATGGGGTCTTAGGGCCCATTCACACACTATCTAGTGCGTTCCAGGACAGTTCCGTGACCTGAACACACTGGATTGCATAAACCAAGCCTCCCACGTACTGGGGTTGGAGGGGCGTGGTAGTGGCATTCATGTCAATGCATGCACTATTTTTTTGTGATTGCATCACACTGGGACACAGGGCACTGCTGTACCACACGTTCTGGTGCGAGCAAACTCACTGTGGGCAGGGGGCATGTCTGCAGTGCCATGGACATGACTGGCGGCGCCACCACTTTCTAGAATGCGGGAGGCTTGGTTTATACAATCCAGTGCATTCCGAAACCATGCCGCAATGCACTGGGTAGTGTGTGAACAGGTCCTTAAGCTAGTCATACACTGGTAAATTTCCGTATGAACGTTTGTATAAGAGATCTTTCCGGAACATTCGATAATGCCATCAGAGACTTCACGGATGTTAGACATTTTGTTTGATTTGTGTGTGCTAGTAAGCCGAGTGTGTCTGCACAAACACACAGGCATAGCAAAGCAAGCCAGTCCCCTGCCCCCCTCTCCTCCCTCCACCCTTCTCCAGGCTAGTAGATGAACAGTTACTGGACACTGTGCTGTCCCTAGT